TCCAAAAATGATTTCAAAAAAAGTATGGGGGAAAGCTATATAAAGTTTTACTTATAGTTAAATTTCTGCACATTGATACAGAAGGAGATCCTGTCCAGACCTATAACACTCTGTTCACCAATCTTTCTCAAAGCTTATAATATATCCAAGAGCAATCCATATTGTCTTCATTATATGCATGTTTTTCCCTGATATTAAAAAGCATAGTCATCTGTATATGTTTACAAGTCTGGACCTCAAAGAGAACACTATTTATTGCTCACACTTACCGCCTTGAAACAGGCCAACAGCTGAGTACAAAAAACCTTCAAACAATCAGTGTTTGTTCTCCTTAAAGTTGATAGATAAGTGAGTGGGTAACCTCCCACCCCAGGTTCCACTGCAACCACATTTAAATAAACATCCCTTCTGCCCTTTCACAAAAAGAAATTACTAGTACTGCCTCTCCCTGGATTCCATATATGTATTGGATAGCTGATAAACCAACAATGAGTTACAGCAAATCACATTTATATATAAAACAGGGACAGGGAAATGTAACCAGATACTGGAATGTATTTCCAAGAATATCCTCCAAAGTATTAACATTAGAGACCCTAGAAATACTATATTACCCAATGCAAAATAATTCATCTCTGTATGGTAATGCTTTGCTAATCACAATCTGTTTATACTGAAAGCCTTACAAAACGTTAATGAAGTCAATAACAAGCAAGCAGAAATGTTAGAACTGAAAGGTCCAAGTAATTGTTTCCCTATTTCAGAAACTACCATCATCTTTTTTATGATTAACACTTTTACTACCCTTATACAGAGGAAATCCCTTGAGTCCCTCATTTCACAAAATTCTATCATGAAGATCTGTAAAGTATGTAGCCGTGAACATTTTTAAAGAGAGGGGAAATACTCAGCTAGCTATGGTAATTTAACCACACTAAATCTTGTGATTATCACAACCACATCCATTTTAAATCCGCTAATCTAAGTCAGGATTAAGTCTAGAACTGAAAACAGTGGAGGAGAAATATGGCTTTAGCCCTGCATTAGTAATCCAGATGTCTCACCAGTGTAGTGGCCAAAGCTGACTCCAGCAATACAGCCAGTCCTCATTTAGTGGCTACCTCAGCAACTGTTCACAAACACTACGGTAATAAACAGTAGTAAACAGTAGTAAAAAATTTTCTGACCAATGTGCATACTTATAACCAAATTTCTACACCTGACAACAACAAACACTAGAGTGAGAGTAACTCTGGCACTACTGCACAAGAGAACTTTATCTGAAAGAGATGGCAACAACCAGTGCTCTTCACAGCATTTCTCTCTCTCTGTCACGTGGTTCACTTAGCGATTATTTTGCTGGAATGGACTGCAGTTGCTAAATGAGGACTGGCTGAATTTACATTTAAAAAGAGCATTGGTTTGTGTCTTCAATCCAATGCTAAAGTGCTCCATGCTTCTTGGTAATTTAGTGCCTAAATAACACCTACTTTTCCTCATAACTTTGTAGCTGAGAAGAGAATGAGGTTGATAACACAATCTTAAAGACAGATCCCACTACCTACATTCCTTTCTCCATTTAGGACTGACTGCTTTTCATTTCCCTTCATATTACTCAACATCTTTATTTTTTCACATTTCTAATCATTATGTATAGTTGACACACATAGTGAGGTGGCTCCCTTATTTTTGCATCCTTTTATTCTGTTTTATTATTTTTAAAAAATATTTTTAATGTATTTGACTATTTTTAGCTTTGTTGTACACAGCCCAGACTTGCCTGTGGTGAGATGGGCAGCTATAAAAATTGGTTAAATAAATAGTGAAATTGCTGTGAGCAGCACACTAGAAACACCAAACATTGTTACAAATGGCAATTTTTAATGTAACAGAATGGGAAGATTAGTAAATACATCAATGGAGAATAATCTTATTAACTAAACATCATTTCAATTAAATGTAACCTGATACCAAATTTAGGCTTTATTCTGACTTTCCCTCACTACCCAGTATACAGTACAAAGGACAAGGATGGCTTTCAGTTCACAAGGATACATGTGTTTGTCTTCAATGATCACCTGAGTTCTTAAGTTATAAAATACAGTCATCTGAATAAATTACATTCTTTATATTATTTTCAATACAATATCACAAACAGAAGCGAAATTTTACCAATTCTCAGAAAGAGAACCATGTTCCAAGAAACTTCCAAGCAGAGGAAACATAATTTTTAGAACATGTGGAAAATATGAACTGAAAAAATACAGATTTCAAACTAATCCTCTTTCCACACTGAAATGTGCAGTTCAACTGAACTTCCTAAGCAATAACATTTTTCAGGTCTCCTGGCAAGTTGATTCAACAGTACTGCCTTGCTCAGGGCCTGTTTCCATATACAGGTAGTCTTCAAATTACGACCATTTGTTCAGCTTTGTTCAACAACCATTCGAAGTTATGACAGTGCTGAAAAAATGGACTTATGACTGGTCTCCGAAGTTAGGGCCGCTGAAGTGCCCCTGCAGTCACATGATTGTGATCTGGGCAGTTGGTGACCCATTTGTACTTACGACTGGTTCCAAGCACCCCGCAATCATTTGATCGCCATTTGCAACCTTCCCTACCAGTCTCCCACAAGCAAAGTCAATGGAGAAGCCGGCAGGGGAGGTTGCAAGTCACTCGAGTAAGTCTTTCCCACCCACCCTGGCCTTTCTTCATTTGCACGCACTATATCCTCCTTCCCCCTTTGCTTGCTTGCATGAACCGGTGCCCTCCTTCCCTTGCTCACACACACCAGCATCCTCCTTCTTTGCTCACTTGCAAGCACCAGCACCCTCCTTCCCCCTTCGCTTGCATACACCACGCCCCCTTTATTCTTTCCAGGAGGAAGGAGAAAGCCTCACAAATGGCCAGCAGTTTCCAATGTGGGCTGCAGAGCATGTGCCAAAGAACCCCTGGAGAGTCCTCAAGCAAGCAAAGGAGGGAAGGAAGGTACAGTGCATACATGCAAGTGAGCAAAGGGGAAAAGAGGGTGCTGGTGCATGCAAGTGAAGAACGGCATGATGCATGTGAGCAAGCAAAGGAAGACATTGGCGCATGTGCACAAGCAAAGGGGGAAGGAGGGCCAAGAAGCTCCTGAGTCACAGCATGGCAAGCAGCCGCAGAGCCACATGGTTCTGGGGCTGCTTGCTGCCTTGCGAGGCAGGGTGCGGGGCAGCCAAAAGGGCAGAGATGGGAGGAGATAGGTGGGTGGGGGGAGTTGGAGGCAACCCTTACCTTACTGAGGCTCAACACTAGGAGGGACCAAGCCCAGAATGGCTTGGATTGGGGTGGGTCCTCGGCTAATGATTGGTGGAATTCACTTAACGACGTCAATGGGGAGTACCAGGATTGCCATCGCTAATCAATGCAGTCATCTGACATCTCTTTACAACCGCATCACTTAGCAACAGAAATTCCGGTCCCAATTGTGATCGTAAGTCGAGGACTACTGTATATTATCACAAATTCATACTATCAGTAAATTGACTATAGCACTACTACAACTGAATATTCTCCCAGTGTGGTCTACTGCTGAAAACATACAGGTAGTCTCCAGTTTAAGAATAAGTTCAAAACTGTAGGGACAAGTCCAGGCAGTCACTAGGAGTTGAGGATGATTCAAAGGCAACCATGTTAACTATTATTATAATAGGTTCAAAAAGGAGCAGTCATAACCTTATACAGGTCATTCCCAAGGTCTGTCCTTAACTCGAATTTGTATGTAAGCCAGAACAGTATTATTGTATAATAACGTATAAGCAGTATTGTGTAATTAACTCAAACCATTGTGTATTTAACTTGATGTTCTACAATAGGCACAAGGGGCCTGCCAAGCAGCTTTGTGCAGCCCACCAGCATTTTTTGAAAACTTAACAAATCCACTGCTGCCAAACATCACCACTGCCTAGTTTTTAGCAGCCACCTCTGCCCCAAAAGATACATTGCCAAGTGCCTCCAAGCCTCACCAACACTGCCCATTCCAGCGCTACCTCCAGCTGCCAAACAACTGATTGGCTTGCCAGCTGTTCCTTTGTGGCCCACAATTATTTTTAAGGTATCGATGTGGTCCTTTCCCTTCTACAAGTTGTGCAAGCCTGGCCTAGAGTATCTGGATTCCAGTGAAGCCTATGTAAAATCTTAAGGAAAACGCTAGTTTTCATTGATCTCAAATTCCCATGAATTTGAATAAATAGCCAGTTTGGCTTAGTGGTTAAGGCAGCAGGCTAGAAACCAGGAGACTGTGAGTTCCAGTCCCCCCTTAGGCATGAAAGCCAACTGGATGACTTTGGGCCAGTCACTCTCTCTTAGCCCAACCCACCTCATACGGTTCCTGTGGGGAAAATAGGAGGAGGAAGGAATATTAGGTATGTTCGCCTTGAGTTATTTATAAAAATAATAAAAATGGGATTAAAAAATCTAAATCTAAATTATAATTCGTTAGATTTATATCCCACTTTTCCCCCAGATACTTAAGGTAGTTTATGTTGGATCTTTTTGCATTTTATTCCTACAAAATCTCCAGTAAGATAGACTGGGCTAAGAGCACTGCTAACCAAAAGTCACCTGGTGAGTTTCCATAGCTGAGGGTGAACTCAAAACTTCCTCTCCCCAGTTCTAGTCCAACACCTTGACCACTACACCACACTGAGTCTTCATACCAGCCTCTTTGTAGCTCTGAAAATCAAGCAAAGATGCTCTGACTTGAAACTGCAATCCCATATCATACACTCTAAAATCCAAGACACTCCTGAAATAAATAAAATGTAACTTCCTAAGTTACTCTAGTTTTCATTTTGTTTTAAAAATTATTATTTTGATGCCTACCTTGTCCCCAGATCTCCCTCCATTCCATAATAGCAAGTGAGCAAGATAACTATAATCTGGATGTGTTAGCTTCCTCTCCTCCAAAATGTTTTGCTGAAGTATTAGTGGGAAAAAAATGAATAATCACATTTAACATATGGATTTTTAATGGCAGGTTTTTAAAGAGAAATTCTATAACTTCATAGATTTAAAATCATATTGAAGGAGATGAAGTTTCAAGCTGCAATATTTTGGAAGAGGAAAGACAGAAGAAACTGTTGCCCCTTGATCTTAAGCTTGAAAATATTTCTGGTTGCCTTTAAAAATATATGATTATCATGATCACATATTTAATATTAGACCATAGTTTGGCACTAAGGCTCAATCCTAAGTGCACTTCAAAGATAAGATCATGGAATATTGTGGAATTTATCTGTAAGTAAACATGTATACTGCATTACAAATCCAATTTAGCTGCTTAGTAGTCAGATGATTTACTCAGTACTTCATTGGATCATCAACTACTTCACATCCTGTTATATATTAATCAGTTCTTACTCAGCTCAACACCACCTTCTGTATCCTGGGTAAAATGAAACTGATACTCCAAGTATGGGTGTAACATGACTCTGGTTGTTTCCCCACTTACTGTATTGGCCATTTACAATTTACAAAGAATTACACTGTTTTCTGAATCTCAGAATTTTCCTATAAAGAGAAACAGTAATCCATAAATATCTGAACAGACCAGATTGTTTTATTCCTGCTGCATTAATATATATATGTACTACTGTACAAAACCTATTAAAAATTACTATGGAAAGTTAAGGATCTCTTAAATTACTACCTCAGCACTGAGAACAGACCACAAAAAGACAATTCTTAGATTTGCTATTTCTGCTTCTAAATTTGCATTAAGACGCCTGCTGGTCCTACTGTTTAAAAAGTATTGGTTTACTAATTCCTTCTTTGTGTTAAAAACTAGAGAAATGGAGAATAACTAAAATCATATAGTTTAGTTTCCTTTTTACATAGCCTTCTTAAAACAAAAATGTAAGGTTTAAAACACAAACAAAAGTATTAAGAAATTAATATAGATGTTATTCTAATATAAATTAATTATACTCAAGCGTCATCGAACAAAATGCAATTGCTACTTTTTTCACTGAAACTATAGAGTAAAATGTCTTTGTGACTTGTGCAAAGACAGAACCTCTTTGCCTGAAAAAAAGATCCTGCTACTTTAAGAGTCAGCTTCTTAAAAAAGTTGTTCAATGTTCCCATGAGATTACACTTATTCAAGCAAACACAGCTATTCTAGGGGTATGCATTTCTAATGGACAACTGCAGCTATATCAAGATCATTAGGAATTATTTTAAATATATTTCTATGTCAAATGTTTGCATGTGCAAATTTCACTTGGAAACAAAAAATAAAGAAGTATAAATGAGGAAAAGACAGTTTTTAAAATTACTACTACTTATAACAGACATTATAAAGTTGTACTGGGTATTCTGGAGGTTACAAATTGTTTAGTCTAGATATTGAGCACATTCACAAAGTTCTCCTTTAGAATTTAAAGAAGCACAGTTGTACCATCATTAAATGCATACAACAGATAATTTAATTCCATTCATTTATGCTAGTAAGTGCCACTCTCAAATATACTGTACTTACAGTTTCACTAGCCTCTCCCCGCTCCTCCACCCCAAAAGCTACTTAGAACCAATTTCATTGTGGGTTATAAACTAGAACAGAACAAGCACAACTATCAATGTCATCTACTCTGGTATTTTGCCTGAGTTTTCATTCTTCATAGAAAGGAAAAATTGAGACTTCTCTCCTATCTTTTCATGTTCTCTTGTTGATAATCCAGAAATAAAAGTAGGGAAAGTGAAAGAAACTAGAATATGTATAAATTGCCTTAGTTGTACCGTGGGGAAAAGGTTAAGTAAGTATTAATAAACTACAAAACCTACTTAATTTAATAAAGTAAATTAAGATTATGAAAACTTTGAGGTAAAAAAGCAGACTCTTGGGAAATCAATAGAAAACCGATCCTAACCAATATCTAATGAGATACAAATATTAAAGTAGAATTTAAATATTATTGTACATTTTAATTATTTTAAATTTAATTTTATTTAGGATACTTAAGTATCAGGATATTAAGTATCCTAAATAAAACCTGAATTTCCAGATGTGCAGCATTTTTTGTGCCTAATTTCATATAACCTGAGGACAGAACAATATCATAAAAGATGTGTGGCACTTTAAATTGTAAAGTGCCCCAAGACTCTTATACCTTATCAAAATCATTTATTTTTATATACTATTAATTTGATTTTGAAATATAACATTTTAAGAACTTCAACTTTCAACTTTATTGATTTAGTCTATTGACCATATCAAGTATAAATATTTTAAGAATGAGACTTAGACATTTAGTTGACTGATGTATCATAAGATATATCAAATCAACATAATTTAAGGTGCTTTTCAATTACAACATCTATCAAATAAGTTCTTATGTGAAAAAATAATACATGAATTTATGTCAGAAAGGGGTGCTGTAATTTCAAGATTGGCACACAAATACCAACACAATAAGGACCATCCTGTGCATGAACACATTTCAACAGGTCTTCTCTCTCATTTTACCTCAATGCACCCAAATCTTGAAGCATTGCGCAGCAGATTTTAAAATAAATGGGGACTTTTATTTTAAAACAGCTCCTGTATCAGCCACTATATGGATACCAGCCATTCACCTGAAAAGAGAAATTAACTGGATACCTCCCTATCTTTACTCAGCAATTGTTTCTTCTTTTATTCACTGGAAAGTATTCCCATGAGCACTATTCAACTGTTTTTACTTAGAAACAAATCATACTGTGTCTAAAAGCACCTATTTTTAGAACCACTTATTTCAAACTTAATTTCTAACATCTAATATTTTATTAAGGTGCAAGCCCCACAAACTGTAGTACTGAATAAAAATGAGATTACTATTTTAAAATGTTTGGAATATAACATTACCTAGGTTGTAAAAATGAATGAACATGTAACGTACTCATTTTACTCCTAAATAAATGTTCAAGATCATTTTACAAAATGTTAACATAATTCTATTAATAGAACAGAGGATCCCTCTCCTGATTTATAGTAAATTTTACTCCATTAATACAAAACAACAAAATAGCAAAACCAAGTATTCAAGCAAACCAAAAAGAGACAATTACAATATGCATATATACAATATGTAAACACACATTCTACTTTAGAATAAAATAAATATGATTTGTATTATTCTATGAGACCAAATTTTCAGGTTCAAACACAAATTATTTCAAAAATAATGGAAGTCTTGGGGCATTCAGAAGATATATTCTCTCCAAAAAATCAGTGAAGTTGTTTTGAATGGTACTACAGTTTACAATTATGTTCCTGAAAATTACTTGTTTATACAACTAAAAAACCTACTGATTAATAATTAGGTAGGCAGTCATAATAATAAGAATTTAAAGAATTTAAAACAGAATTCAATGCATTTTAACTGCCTGAATCAAAATACCAATTTGCCTGTTTTAAACAGAAATACAATATAGTATCACCTGAGATGTAGAAAGATAATCTGAAACCAGTATTCATGCATATATATTGTAGAAGTTAAAGCATTCATCTTCTAATCTACTACAGAAGTTACCAGCAATGCACAAGCAATTAGAGACGACCAATGAAAGCATCAGTATATATATTTTTAAAGAACTAAATAAATCTTCCATTTCCAATCATCTGAATCTCAGATCAGTTCCACAGGGCAATTAGATGGGGAAAAAAACACATCAACGCGCATGTCGAGTCGGCAAGCAACATTCTTGTGCTACCTCTCTACCTGTGTATAATTCCATGTCACATTTAGTACATCCTTGCTGCAAATGTAGGAAGCCTAAGCTCATGAATAATGCTTTTTCCTTTAGGGTATTCTGCATACCTACAGCCCTTCTAACCTCCCTCATCAAAGAAAGAAAATTACATTTTGGGAACCCCAAGATAAACAGAGGCCGTCGCTTTCCTTGGCTTCCGTGTTTCATCCCCTCTTCGAAAAGATGCCCTCCCTGCATTCCAAAATCCCCTCTGCCCCACGACATCGACGTTCTCCGTGTATTTCTCCAGTTGTTCAGCGGCCCTGCCCCAGGAATAAGAGGAAGTGGGAGAATTGGGGGCGCCATTTTGAGGGTGAAAGGGAAAACGGCTCACTTCTCCGTCTCTGCCGCATCTCCTTCCACTTCCACGCCGATTCGAGGCGTTGTGGACGCAGCTCAAAAAAAAAGTGGGGGGGGGAAGCGCGTGCAGCGCAGGCGCCTACCCGTTTTGTTCGAGCCCGGCCTGTACCCCTCCCCCATTAGGTCCGGCTTTGATGTATCGTTACCTGGCTGTGACGGAAAACCGGGGCCTCTTCGCCACTTCCGTTCCCCGCGAACGAATCCTTGAGAAAAGAAAGGATGCCGCCAAACGCCTGGTCCTGCGGTTTATGGCACAGGGGACAAGGAACAGAGGCTCTTCCGTGTTTCACGATGGGGTGAACGCGGCCTCCAACTTCCGTCTTTTCCTCCTCCTTCTACTCCCGGACCAAAACACAAACACGCAACTTCCTCTGGCCGTGCCACCGCCTCTTGCCACGTCACCGCACTCGTCTCATACCACTTCCGCTTTAGACAGTCACGTGCTAGTCAGGCCGTTGTTACAGATCGAGACCTTAGCTAAGGGCGTTTTCTGTGGAGCAGCCGACTCGCGCTGGGAATTGTGGGAAGCGAGAGGAATCGCCAAGAATCGGTTGTGGTTGTGTGTCCTGTTGTAGTGTCAGATGCGACCAGCGGAGCTGGCGCAAAATTTCCACTCCGAGCCTTCACTCCATACTTCACCACTGACATTCAAAGCTAGGCTCTTATTTATTGATGATTTGATTTGATTTGATTTATATAGCCGCCCATCTCAACTGCGTGAGATATTCAAGGTAACAAGATTATTGTAATTTATTTGATTGTTGTGAGCCGCCCAGAGTCGTTGGGAGTTGGGCAGCTTACAAGTTTAATACATAATGATAATAACAACAACAATGCTGGGCAGCTTACAACAATTTAAAAATACAAAGAACAATTCAGTCAAACCAATAAAAAATGTATATAACCAATACAAATGAATTAACAAAATCTACAGCTAGAGTCTAAAAACAATCCACACTCAACAGAACCACTGCATAGGCTCCGCTATGCATCCAGATCCCCATGCCTGGTGTCACAATCATGTCGGCCTTGTGTAAGGCCATTAGGATCCAGGGGGATGATGTTCCATGGGGCTTATTAAAGTATTTGTGTTATAAAGTTACCAATCACGTGACCACTTAGTACAAGCTCAGATTAGAAGTTGCGTACCTCTACTGACGTAGTGTATCCGTTTTGCAGACTTTCAAACACAAGGGCATTGGTAATGGACAGACTGACTGTGCTATGTAATACAGGGTATTTTGGACTAATTCCCTCAGGAAAACCAAAAATAAAAGGAGAGGGAGAACGGAGGGAAGGATGGAAGAGACAAAACACAATAGTCAATGTCATGTTTTCATAGTGCATGGCACAGAGGACTCTAGTGATGCAACTGATTTAAAACAAGAGAAAACATTTGTTGATGAATGCAGATCCCTAGAGATTTGCCTAACAAGTTATACTAGTTAGCACTCAAGATTATATGTTCCATGTCATACCAAAATTGCAGTCACTAGGATGGGTCAGGAGTATATAGAATCAGACCAAATCAACTAATTCTCAAAATATCAGCAAGGATTTTGGTCATTAAAAAAAAAAAAAAAATCACAGTCTCTGCCTTTTTTACTGGACTGGGGAAACTCAAGAACTACCAGTGTAAATACAGTACATAAATAAATACAATAGAATTTGCATAAGCCTAAAGTCTGCCAATGCTGGTAATACTGAAACACATTGGACTGCATATTTAGTGATGCCTTCTCAAGTCAGAATATCCTTGTTTTCTTTTCTAAAACTGATTTATTCTGTTGCTTTTGACAAGTTATTTGGAAGTATCTATATTACATTTGGTAATACAAAGCATGTTTAAATAGATATAAAAGTTTATTCATGATTCAAATCCCTCCCCTTGTATGTAGTTGATGCCATACCTTATTTTTAAACACTTTAACTTTAAAGGCAACATAATCGGGGGAGGAGAATCTGTGTTTCACATAATATATTTACAAATATTTCAGATATTCAGAAGCAAATTTATACTTCATTTTGCAGTATTCAGGCAGTATGCTACATATATTTTGTGCTATTTATTTAAAATGAAGATAACTATTACATAAAACTTTGAAGAGGAAAGGAGCTCAAACAAATGATCAAGATCATGCAGTACTTCCTGTAAATAACAATAATATGAGGTAGCTTTTGTGATAATAGTAGATTGGCATCTTGCTCTATTCATGTTGTAGTAACATTGATGTCATAATTATTTGATTATATGCCATTAAGTCAGTGTTGACTGTTAGTGACTACAGAGATAAATCTTCTCTAGGATGATTTCTCCCCAATCTGTCCCTTTGGTCTCTCAACAGTGCACCCTAATCTGAGTTTCTATCTCTGATGTCTTTACAGATTTTTCTTGTCTCTTTTAACAGCTTTTTGAAACACTTTGTTAAGATTTTCATCTTTCTTAGCTTTGGCTACTCTTCTCTTCTTGGTAATATTCATGGTTTGTTTTGACATCCAGCTTGCTTAACTTCTGCCATATCATGTCAGTTCTCAAAGCAGTCTCATTTCCCTTAGAAAACAGTTATGGGAATTTTACAATATTTGAGAGCTGTCTGATCTCAGCTGCAGAACTTTGGACAACCAATAGATGGAAATGAAGAGGTAGTGAAGTCTTCTTTATTTTTGCAGCCCATGTCTGGAAGCTCTAAAATTTACAAGGATAGAGACTGAGGTTCATAATTCACATTCACACCAATAGACACTGTTTCTACAACTAATTTGCAACAGGGCTGCCATTATCTTCACATCCTTTATTGAAAGCAAGCCAGTTTCCCTTATTTCTCCCTCTTCCTCTCTTTTAGTTTGGTCTCAGACTGTTTCTATCTCCAGAATATTACAGAAACAGAATTATAGTATTATTTAGTTGAAAGAGATAACTGGTCTTTGATTTAAATACTTGTGAGGCATTAATGGTTGATTCACATACCCCTGATTATTGCTTTCTTCCTCAAGATTGGAGGAAGGTATGTTGGCTGGAAAACTGCTGTCCCCGCAACATCCTTCTTACTGTGACTTCTTTCTGAGTGGGTTAAGTTAGGGCAGGAGTCCTTCAACAGATGGCATGTTGGAAGGAAGAACAGAAAAGGTACGGGGTCAGCAAAGTAGCTATTGATTCCTCACTATAAGATTCCTTTAATTGTCAACCTCAGTAACTGAAATGAGCCCTGATGCTTTTGGGGGGGGGGGTCCCATTACTTGCTGTTGCTGCCCTTTGCTCTTTTCTCCATTGGTTCACAGTGCATGGGCAGCAGCATGGCCTTGGGTGTCTTGTGTTCTGGTGGGTAACATTGAGTTTTGTGGATCAGGGCAGCTATCTGGAGAGTGGCAGTGTCATTGCTGTTACTTGTGAGCTTGTAGTGCTGCTTTCTTGGCAAGGAATTTACCAAAGGGAAAGAAGGTTGATATTCCCCAACCCAAAAGAACATAGGGATCAGGAGTGGATCTGCTCTTTCCAGCAGCCAGAATAGAAATGACCAAGATGCAGAGCCCTGCATTAAGATGGGAGAAAGCAGCAAGTCAGTTACAGCTCTGCAGGCCATTGTTCACACAGTGGAGGGTTTGTTCCATGTTCCAGTGGAAAACATAACTTCCTGATAGATTGCCCTGATTTGGCTGTAGCCTGCCTGAGTAGCAGGCTAGCACCAAGAAGGAGTCTCTATTGTAAGGACATGTCCTCAAGAAATGGTAAGCAGGCCATCTCAATACTGGGATATGTAGGGGATGTGGATAAGTCCTTAAGACCAATAGAAGAGAACTGGCAGGGCATGCCACAGTATATAAACAGAGAGCAAACCCCATTCCACTCTAGCACTTAAGATGTTAGCTAGCCAGGTAACGAAACGTTTGCAAGAAAACAACCAAGCTCAGAGAACCCCAAGGACTTCAAAATCCTTAAGACTCAACAGTTGACTAATCTCTATCAAGGGACATGCCTAGAGGATAATATATTAAATTAACAGGTTAAAATAATTAACTGTGGTTTGTTTAAAAGAACAGTTAAGGACAATCAAACTGGAAAAAGTCCCAAGAGTGAGACTAGTTTGGCACATGCATTGCATGAAGCTATAAGGTGGCTTGCTTAGTATGCTATATGAATCCAGGGATTAAGATACAGTACAAAATTAGAAGCATTTTGTGATAACACTACTTCCCGTAATGCACAGCAGAGAGAATTTTTACCTGGTACGGGTCCTTTAATCATATACAATGCAAAATGTGCTAACTGTGATGCTTCTTTAAAAGCAATTAATTTAATTTTGTAAAGGTAACATGATTCATACTATTGGATAATGTTTATAGCAATAAACTAACAATCTTATCATTTTACTGAATGAATGATTTATATTTTTATTGATTGTAGAGAAAGCAATAAAAACAGTAAATTTCATATGGGAATATGCATAATATTTAATATAATTTATTATTTGTGATTTATTTATTTATATTTCAAATTTAGATGAACAAATGATGTCTTTTAGTTCCATGTCACCATTTCTGACACACCTTCAGGTGTGGCATTAAACTGGCTTGGCTAGTTTTCTATCCTAGCCCTAATCAAAGTGGGCCACATTTCTACATTTTCTAAGCATTTCATCTATTTGTTCCATGGCAAGTCTACAGGACATGAGGCCATCTAGTGGTGAGAATAAAATCTAAGCTTAGAACAAAAGATGTGAGCTTGCTTCCTACCCTCTGAACTACCATTAAGGTTTAGTACAATTAGCCCCCAAACAATCAGTGGTTGAATTCATATTGTTGGAATACCTTTATGCAGCAGAATAGGTATGCAAAGAGAAATAAAAATAACAGAGCAAGTCACAGAAGAATTTCTGGAAACAGATGCTTTTTTTTTAAAGTCAGTCTTTATTATTATTTATTTATTTGTCAGTATTTATAGCCTGCCCCAGCTAAGGAGAATCTGGCAGGAATAGAATAAAATGCAAAGAAGTGCACTAAAAGCCTGGCCTTTGCACAGCCTGTTGGCCTTCAGAAGGCTGTAAAACCTTGGCTTTTTCTTCAGGCATTGGACCCAGGAAGATTCGAGTCTGGAGGCAGGTATGACTGTGAGTCCCCGGCCACATTAATAGGTGGTTGTATGGTTAATGTATGTTGGATTTTAAATGAAATTGTTTATCTTGTTCTGTTTTTGTGCTGCCCAGAGTCTCAACACTCAAGTTGGGCAGCCATATACATTCAATAAATAAATAAAAGTACAAATAATAAAAAGCAACACAAAATATTCATCAGGGGTGCCATTCAATTAGTCTAAGAGTCAAATGCCCACTGGTACACAATGCTTTGGCTTATTTTTGGAATATCTGTAGAGTAGAGGTCATCAGTACTTTCAGAGGAAGAGTATTTCATTAAATGTGGACCAATACTGAAAAAAACCCTGTCCTTTGGCCCACACTTTATGAACTTCATGAGGAGTGAGGACCTGCAACAGTCCATCTCTAGGAGATTAGGCAAATTCAGTTTTGGCAATTAATAGAAAATTCCATTTAGATAGAAAATCTAAATACATTATCTATCCATATTCTAAGTAAAAGAATAAAAAACCATGTAGTTTGCCAGCTGGGAAAGAATCCAAGAGGTAATGCTTTAGAACAGGGTTTGTCAACCTTAGTAACTTTAAGATGTGTGGACTTCAGTAAATACCAACTGGTCCAAATTCATCTGGAGGTTGAGTTCAAACATTGCAATCAACCACAGTGTGATTTAGCATCATATATCCACTTAGTTGTTACGGTTGGTATTTACGGATTAGTGGTAGTATGAACCGAGCCAGTGACTGTTTACAGCCTCAACTTGCCCTGCTCTGTGTCCAGGTTAAGCCTTGCATTTTAGGGTGTAATTGCTGCCCAGTATTTCTTTTGAAAGCCAGTGGGAGGTTGGGTTAAGAGTGATGTACATGGGATTGGAAGACCTGGATTCAGATCCCTCTTCTATCACCAGACACAAGGGATGACCATCTCAAACTCTCAGTCTTATCTGTAGCTCACAGGACTGTTGTGCGAGGACAAAATCGGCCGCTGAAGCAAGCCACCTTAAATACGCCCACCATTATCTGGATTGTAAAAATCCGGACAATCAGTAGATGGCGGCAAAGCCAACCCAAAGGTGGTAGCCCGAGGCTTCGGGTTTTGGCGGGAAAGTGGTACTGTATACGCATGAGTCAAATGGGCGCGCGCCCTGCAAATCTTTCAGGGTAGAAAAGTATGTGCGTCCAGGACTCACCTTCGGGCGGAGGGGGCGGGGCGGAAAGCTTTCCCGTCGCTAGGTTACCCGAGAAAACATCCTCTTTCCGCCATTGGCTAAGCGGTTCCCTCTGGCTAGGATGGTGGGCGGGCTGCCGGTTAAGGGGCTGCACGGAGCCGTTAGGCAAGTATATCAGGGGAAGTTTATCGACCGGTTTCCTGAGCTCCCCACAGTGAGTATTTATGGCTTGTGCTCGTCCCTGCCGCCATCCCGCTCTTCCCGCTTTGGGATGAGTTGCCCCACACCGCTTTCGCATGTGACTCGTTGCCCAGAGGACGCCCG